CCAGCTTTGTCATTTGAATACCTTAAGCTAAGGCTCAACACAAAGTATTTGCCCAGTCCAAACGCCCAGCCTTTCCTCATAAGAGAGATGTTCCAGACCCCAGTCATCTTTGTGGCCCTCTGATGGACTCTCTGCAGTAGCTCCTTGTCTTGTACTGAGGAGCCCAGAACTGGACAGAGTACTCCAGCTGCAGCCTCACCAGGGTCAAGTAGAGGGGCAGGATCACCTCCCTTGGCCACACTCCTCCTGATGCACCCCAGGATACTATTGACCTTCTTGGTGACATTGCTGGCTCATGGTTAACTTGTTGTCTTCCATGACCCCCAGATCCTTCTCTGCAGAGCTGCTTTCCAGCAGGGCAGCCGCTAACCTGTACTGCTGCATGGCGTTCTTTCCTCCATGTGCCTAGAGATGACATCTGGGATGAGCTGCTCCATCACCTTTCCAGGGATGGAGGCTGAGTGGCCTGTAGTCTCCTGTGTCCTTCTTGCCATTTTTGAAGATTGGAGTAATGCTGGCTTTCCTGTAGGCACCTTTCCTGTTCTCCGTAACCTTTCAAAGGTGATGGTGAGTGACTTAGCAATAACATCTGCCAGCTCCCTCAGCAGTCATCAGTGCATCCCATCGGGGCCAGTGGATTTGTGTGCATGAAGTTTGCCTCAATGGTCTCAAACCCAGCCTTGGCCAAGGGAAGGTCTTTCTTTCTCTAGACTTCCTCTCTTGTCTCCAGGGTCTGGGATTCCTGAGGACTGGTCTTAGCAGTAAAGACTGAAGTGAAGGCATTAAGTAATGTAGCCTTCTGTGTATCCTTCATCATCAGGGCATCCACCTCTTTCAGCAGCAGGCTCACATTTTGCTAGATTTAATTCCAAATGGACCTTAGGCTTTCTCATCACATCTTTCCATACTCTGACAATGTTATTTTCCTCCTAAATGGACTGTTCCTTTTTCCATAAACTTACTTCCTTCTGTTGAGTTTTATCAGAAGGTACTTGCTCATCCATGCAGTCTCCTGCTGCCTTTGCTCCATTTCTTACTCATTCTCCCTGAGCTTGGAGGAAGTGATGCTTGAATATTAACTAGCTCTCTTGGACCCTACTTTCTCCCCCTACCTCTTAGAGCCCTATCCCATGGGATTCCTCCAGGTAGGTCCCTGAAGAGGCCAGAGTCTACTCTCCTGGAGTCCAGGGCTGTAACTCTGTTTATTGCCTTGCTTCCACCATGCAGGATCCTGAACTCCACCATTGCATGGTCACTGCAGCCAAGGGTACCCCCAGCCTTCACATCCCCAGCCAGTCCTTCTTTGTTAGTACAAGGTGCAACAGCACACTTCTCCTCTTTGACTCCTCCACCACCTGTGTAAAAAAGGTCACCATCAGTGCTTTGCAGGAACATCCTGGATTGTGTGTCTTTCCAGCAGATATCTGTGTTGTCTTTCCAAGAGATATCAGGGTGGTTGAAGTCCCCCATGAGAACCAGGGCCTGTGAGGCTGCTTCATGCTGTCCATAGAAGACCTTGTTGACTTCCTCTTCTGGATTTGGTGGTCTGTAGTAAACACCAACAGCTGTCACTTGTGTTAGCCTGTCCCTTAACTCTCACCCGTAAGTTTTTGACTTATTCTTCATCCATGCGTAGGCAGAGTTCAGTATGTTCCAGTTGTTCTCCTGTATCAAGAGCAACTCCACCACCTCACCTTGCTGGCCTGTCTTTCCTAAAGAGTACATAGCCACCCATGACAGCACTCCAGTCATGCCAGCCATCCCACCATGTCTCTGCAATTGCAATGAGATTGTGACCGCACACTGATCTCTTAATTCTTCCTGTTTATTCCCCGTGCTGAATGCATCAGTGTACAGGCATTTCAGAGAGGTAATCGAGCATGCAGGTTTCCTAGGTGGGGTGCAAGAGGATCCACCATGGCCATAACACACATCTTCCCCTGCTTGAGATAGGCTCACCAATGCATAGACCTTAACTACATGGGATGCTCCCCAGGTGCAGAGCTCAGAATGCAGGGGACTACCTGGCACCTTCATTTCTCCCCTGTCTGCAACAGTCATTGAACTAAGTGCAACCTGAGAAATCTTCTTGTCAGAGCAGAGGGGAAGCTATATTGATTTGGTGGGAGAAAAACGACATCTCTGATAAATCCTGTCCTGCCTTGTCTTTAGAAATTGCATGTAACAAGTTCTGACGGTGTGCTGAGCTATTCTTTCTCGCTTTTCTCAGCAAACAGGATGCAAAGGAAATTGTACACATACATTTATGATTAATCATTAGGAGTCACTTAACAATATGCTTGCTATTTTTGCTTTTTTCCCTTCTCATCCCATGGTCCTTGTAAAAATAGAATGAATCCTTTAAAAAAAAAATACACCATTAATTTCCAAAGCTCAGTACAAGGTAGTGGGAAAAGCAGGGGCAATTATATATTCTTTTTTTTTACAATTACAGTTAAAGTTCTTTTGATCATTGTTGTCCATAGCTCTCTTTTCTAAGTTCATGTGGGTTCAAATGTGATTAAAATTGTAGCTAAATTTTGAAGAGGTTAGTCTCAAGTTCTTACCAAACAGTAAATTTTTAGCATTTGCAGCAAATAAGCATTGGCAAGCTTCAGTCAGTGGCTGTCAGTTACTCAGCTGGTTCACTGCTCTGTTCTCTTGTGCAGAAAGCACTGTAGATGTTTTCTACATGAATAGGTTTGAAGTATCTGCTTTGTTTTGTTCTCCGCTGTTGAAGCTGATGGGTACATCTGCATGAATAGGTGCAGGCAATCTTATGCTGGGTCCGTTCAGGCTCCCAGCTGCCTTCGTGCTCTGACTCCAGGCTGGAAGGCATGTGGATATGCCCCAAAACTTAATGCACAAAGACTCCCTCGCAGATGAAATAGGAGACAAAAGCACATTCTTACGTCCCACTGAGCCTTGGGGGGATAAGCTCTGCACAGCTAAGCTCATAGGTGATATAAAATGAACAAATGAATAAAATCCCCCAAACATCGGCAATGCGGTAGAGCTGAGTGCCTCCCTTTCCTTATGAGATGCTGCATTTGGGACCTGTACGAGGTCACACATCTCAGCCTGCCATCAAAACCCCATGTGTAGCAGACATCTAAGTTGGGCAGATGTTTCCAGCCACAATTTCCCCCTGAAGATGTCCTGCTCTTCCTGGGAGGGGGAGAAGATGATGCTGGGCAGGGGCTGTCTGGGGAACCAGGGACCCTGTTGAGCTTTCAGATGTCGTAGAGTACTGAAAGCAGAAAGAAAAAAATCTGTCTGCACCTCCTTGAATTTTATTTCCACAGTAACATTTCTTAGTAGCATCACAAATGTTAATATTTATATAGCCACTTTCTGTAAGTATTTTTTTGTACTTGCTCACCATGCCAGTGTCAGCAGGTAAAGCAGTAATTATTCAATACATTGGTAACAAAAGTGACTAATATATTGAACCAGGAAGAGCTTGAAAATAAATGTTATGTCACAAAATAGTACACTTCTTCATTTGTTGCGGTTAGAAACTCCGCTGGAATAGTAGAGAGTTCGAACCCAGAAATACTCATTTGAACCACGTGCTTGGGAACTCTTGATTAAAAAGCACTTTGGCTCACCGGCTAGCTGCTCTAATTGAAGAGGGGATTTGTCCATGTAAACGTAACACTGATTTATTATTATTAATTATAATAACTTCCATCTAGCAAAAAAATGCTTCATGGTTATATTTAATATTGCAATACTTAGAATTTGCATTGAGCCTTAGCTTGAGATATCCAAATTACTAGAGGCTTTACTCTTCATTTGTGCTGTACTTCTCATTGCTCTAGGGGTTAAAATAACTCCCAAGGAATACACCCTTCTCTTCTTGCCTTTCCTCTCACCCCTTGTCTCCTGCATTGCATAACAATTCCTAAGTAATTTTGTTTGACTTGCTCACCTGTCTATCACTTCCCATGACTCCATATGACTGGAGGTGGCTGCTTGTGTAGCAGGAACTGCTGTTCCTTTTAGACTTGCCTCATTATAATAATCTATGATTTCATAAATTGTTAAGCTTTAATGATTATAGCAATTAGGATTTTAATTGCTTTCTCGCAAGACTAGCTGTCTGAAGATAAATTGTAGGTTTCTTTTTTTTTTCCTGCCTTTGCTTTCATGTGTTTTGATAACACCTAATCAGAGGTGTTCCCTACAGAAAATGTACTGTGATTGCTCGTTATTCTTCATTATAATTAAACATTGCTTGATGCAGTCTCTCACACTGAAGTGAAATTACACACAGAAGTATTCTGCAGAGGAGATAAAAACTAAATTATGTCAATGTCACTACTTAATAAAAATTACCAACTTGCAGGCACTGGGGAGAACAAGCTTAAAGGCTGTTAAATTTGGGTTCCCTTTCTGTCTGTTTTGTTTTACTGTGGTCTCTGGGCTGTTCTGCAAGATACAAAACAAACAGACATGGTGTCCTCGAGAGGACTGTGAGCTTTTTACATGATGCTCTCCAGACATGGGAACAGCTCCGGCTTGCCAAGTTGTGTTGCCTTTGATGGTGGTCAAAAGCTGATGTGTGTGGAGGGAGGTAGAAGGAAAGAGCGGGCCTTTTATGGGATTTCCCTTGGTTGCAACCCCAGTTTACCATCAGCTGTGGCTCAGGGACTTCCTACAGAGTTTACCAAGCACCAGTGGTGCTCTGAGTTTTCATGTGTATTATCTGATGCCCTAACGCACAGGACTGTGTGTTTTGGTTTTGCTTGATTTGATTTGTCATAGCAGCTTTAGTCATTATTCAGTTTGTATCTTTGTTATCTGCCAGCTTTGTAGAAACTTCAGATTGTAGGTAGTTCCTGGTAGCATTCTGAAATGGTGGTTTCATGTATGACACTCTGTGAACAGTGATTCTGGATGACACTGCTCAGCTTTGCCAGCAGATCGTAAGTTATCCTGCGATAAATTACCCAATCCTGGGTCTTTATATATCAAGGAGATGAAACTTCATGAGCCTTTTGTCCAACAAGAGAAATGTGGTGTATGACTTTTATGAAGTATTTCCCTATAGATTTTCTGCTTTTTTTGTCTGCTCTGATGGCCATGGTAGACCTAGAAGAAAATTAATTACAAACTGTCAGCTATTGGCCTCAAAGGCAGTAGCATACTGGTAGAGCAGACACAGCCAGCAACACCTGCAGCATTTCTCAGCTGTGCCTTTTTAAATGAAAGATTCAAAAGATTCAAGCTGTTCCAGCAATGAATGAATGAACGAACGAAGGTGAAGTGGATGTGAAATGGCATTTGTCTTTGCCAGTATGTTAAATCTGTGAACGCCACACTCTTCATAGAGCGTAAAGTTCCTGATCCCCGGTTGAGTGTACCTCTTGAGCTCTATTTCTATTCAGCTATTGGAAGAATATTACCCACTCAGACTCATGACTCAAAGCTGCTGTGCCCAGTCCCCTTCTTGTTCCTGTATGGAAAGTTTGCATTGAAAGTTGTTTGAATTGCTTGATATTTGGCTTTTCAGTTGTTGTCTGGCACGTTTCTCCTCACTGACCTCAGAAATTGAAGCATATGCTATATTATATTTCTGATATATTAAAAAATCTGCTTCTTTTATATGTATTAAAAGGACATGGTAGCAGTCCAATTTCAGGATAGGTTATCTCCATGAGTTACCAGGTTGCGGGTCATGAATTTTGCCTGAAGTGTACAAGTAATTGCTTAGTTTTAAACTACATTCCTTTCAAAAGCTAATTCTCAAATTACTGGCTGCCCTTATTTAGCAAAAGGGGAAGGAGGTTTGGCAGGACTTGAACCCCTGTGGTCCAAAGCAGAAAACCCCATCCTTTTCCCTTTGGTTCTGTTCTGCCAAGCAAATAACCTGCACCGCTCCTTCAGATAATTCCAGCAACATGCTGTTGCATGGGATTACTTCTACATCTTCCCTCACAAGTCTTACATGTAATAAGCATTCACTCCTGCTTTACTCATTCAGGATTAGTTAGTTGTTGGGGTGAAAAACGTTACTTTAAAAAACCTTGTAATAGTTACCAAAGCCTTTGGTTTGGAAAATGTGTGGAAGTTTTGCTTTGCACTAACTGAAATTCATTCATGCTTACTTGATAGGCCTGCTACTAGTATTGAATAGCTGATAAAGTGCAAGATGAAGACCTTCAATTTGTATTACCCAGAATGTTAAGACCATCATAATGAAATATGAAATCAATGCTATTTTGCACTAGCTTTATTTGTCGATACATTAATCATGCTTGACTCTTAGGAACATAAATTGCTTCTAGTTATTCTCTTTTGGCTGTTGAATATTATAGCCATTATTTAATCCCACAGTGTTAAGTGCAGGTGGCTCACCTGTCTGCCATCCTCTGCTAGTTTTAAAGCTTGGTAATGCTGCAGTGACTGTAGGAAGAGAAAAATGAGAAACCAAAACCTGGAATGACTAATAATTACAATTTAATATGTGTGTGTGAGAGAAGAGCAACAGCTGAAGAGATGTTTTCTTTACCACATTCTGCTTCTGCCCAAAACAAATTAATTCAGGCAATGAAAAGCTTTGCACTTCCTCTACAGCAGAGAAAAATAAACTTGATAAAGGTAAAAATGGTTCAAGAGGTTACATTGCTTGCAATGGAGATTAATAGTAATACTCAAGAGGAAACTTGGAAGTGACGTGCTGGTTAGTAAAGCTGTAGCTCAGTCCTTAGTATGGTGTCTCCAGCGGGGATGTTGCTATAACAAGGATGTGAGCCGGGAAGCCTGGTGTTGCAGTTAACTGTACCCTACAAGGAACTGTGTGGACATACTGGAAACCTCTCCTGGTAGCTGGGGTGTTATGTTGAGTCATGGTATTAATTATAGCTCCTGGATAAACCTCTCATGTCATGGTGTTTGGCTTGTGAAAATACTAGTTCTAGATAGCATGGGCAAATGGCTAAGGCAGGAGCAAACACTGGCATTTGCCATTACATTAAGGATTAGGTGAAGGATTTTTGATGGATTTCAGTAACAGATGACATAGACTGGATATTGGTGTTAGGAAACAGTTAATCTGAAGACGATAGGTATCTGTAGAGAGCAATAAGGTTCCCCCTGAGCCTTCTCTTCTCCAGGCTAAACACCCCCAGTTCCCTCAGCCATTCCTCATAAGGCTTGTTTGCCAGACCGTTCACCTTGCTGCCCTACTCTGGACCCGCTCCAGTGACTCAATGTCTCTCTTGCAGTGAGAGGCCCAGAACTGAACACAGTATTCGAGGTGCAGCCTCACCAGCGCCAAGTACAAGGGGGCAGTTGCTTCCCTGGTCCTGCTGGCTGTGCTATTTCTGAAACAGGCCAGGATGCTTTTTTCCTGAAATGTCAGAAAATGCAATCTCAAACATTTTTCCATATTTGAATTTTAAATCTGATCCTTAATGAAGGGAGAAATGAGCACATGTACACTGAGTTACAATTTACTTGCAGTTGCCTGATTATACTCTCCTGTGCCCCCCTTGACTTTCCAGTGTTTTTATTTCTACCAGGATAAATACTGTTCTGCTCAAACACTTCCAGATTTTAGAACTGAATGATCTTGGTGTTGTGTTCACTGTGTGCATGTACAAACAGAAGGATGCTTTCGAGCATGGTGGGCCTGATCTTGTCTTGCTGGTCTTGAAGAGCTGGTTCTTTTCAGTTCTTTTCACACATTTGCTGTGCAGCCCCTAGTATTGAGTAGCTGACCTTGTTCATTAGTCTTAAATTGGAAATGGGATACAAATGTTGTTATATGAAATGCACCTTTAAAATGTATTGAGTTGGAAGAGTTTGAATACAGTATAGTCACAATAGTGAAGTATACATAAAGTCAACTACATAAGGTGAGTATTTTAGGAATGACTGACAGCATGCTGTATCTCATGCAGTACAAATTTATTAGAGTTCTTGTGAGCTGCTTACATGTGATGGGGTGTCCCCTTGTTGTTTTGCTTTTCCTGTCTGCAGAGGAAAAACTGGGGCGGGGGGGAGAAAGGGCTGTTTTAAAAAGTATCAAATGTCTGTACACAGAAGTAATTTCTTGTTTTACAAGAAGCATGGCTTCATTTGGTAATGTCTGTAACCAGCAGGAAGAAAATCCCATAGTTTTTTTGTAAATATTGCTTACAACAGGAAAGTACTCTTGTTAAATATTCTGTCAGACTGATTTTTTCACTGTGCTTGTGTGGCTGATAAAACATGGTGTGGGAAGGTGCCGCTTACCTGTTCATTCCAGTTACGTTCATTTCCTTATGGAGAGATGGAATGTTAACCATCTCTTGTTTGCAGAGACCAAAGCATTTTTGGACATGTTTATACTAGAATAAATTTATATTGAAGTATATGAAACAGCCAGAGTTGCCTTTTTGTTTGCTATGTTGAAACTCACACCACATAAGCTTAATTATCCTCTTAGTGCCAAAGACTAAAGGTTGAAACTTTCAGGAGCACTCAGAATTCACCTTGTTTTTTTATTGCAGTGGTTTCAAGGTGGTTTTCCATCCTTCTTAATAGAAACAGAAGTTAGAGCAGTGCTGGGCACATGTAAAAAACCTACTGGTAATGTGCATTTTATCATAGAAAATACTGATATTTTTTCAGATTGCCTTAGGAGACCAGCTTAACACAGAAATTGTTAAGAGATAAACCGTGACAGCAACCAGAACCCAAGAGTGTTTTTCATTTCAATTGAAAGAAGACACAAAAAGTCAATTAGTGCTTAAAGAATTTGGTGCAGAAATCAGTGCAGGGGTCTGCAAGTCCACACGTATTTTGCAGTAAAGCTCTGTCCTAGTTGTTCTGTATTTTGCATGTGAGGGCCATTGCATAGCATGTGCGTTAGACGATGTTAGAATGAAATCACCGTTAACCTATGCGGGAAGGGAAGGGATGCGTTCTGATTACTTATCCCCCCCACATAACCCAAAGGGGCACGTGGCCTCCAGACAGTGCCAGTGACGCAGTGATATTTCATGGTGGCACAAGTAGGTTGCCAAGCAGCAGCTGCTTCTGCCAAGCACCTTGTTTGGAGCTGTGACTGCTTAGCACGTCTATTTGTGGCACGGAGTGAAGCACTCAGAGGGGCTGGCCAGGCACCGAGCCTTCTCTGTAAGAGTCCCCATCTGCCTCTGGCAGCCGCCGGCATGGGCAGCTGGATTTGAAAGCTGTCCCGTGAAAGCAGTGTGTGAGCTGGGCAGCAGTCATCCATCGGTGATGGTGAAGCAGTGTGGCTATTTTTGCTGTTGTTTTCCAAAGCTCTTCTCCGTAGCTGCAGTTGAACGCTTCCTCTCCCCTCTTCTGCCGTTTCCTTTAGCACCTTCCCCACCTTCAGCTTTAGCTTTTGATACAATCCTCAGTGTGCCAGGAGGAGCCTTTGTCTCCTTCCTTCCTAATTACCTTTTCCAGTTAAATACTCAACTTCTCCCTTTTCTGTTCTCCTTATCACTGCTTCCTTAACAGTAGGCTGGTAGGTTTTGTCCCAGATCCCAGGACTGCCCTTGGGAAACTGCTGCCACAAATCAGCAACCCCCTACACACTTCTTGCTCCCTATGGATGGCTTCACCTCAGAGTAACCTAGAATTCCCTAATGAGAATGTCATGCATTTTTAGCAGTGTATTTCAGGTCTCAGCACCGTGCCTCCAGCAAAATGACAGAAAAGAGGAGCATGGCCAGCTGCTCTGGATTTGTGGATTACCAGACTTTCACAGCAGAAACTGCATTTTGCTTCAATAGCACAAAGGCCCATTTTAAACTCCTGGAAAACTTCTCTTTTGCTTAATCAAAACCAAATGGTGACTAATTCCACCAGCAGCAATGCCAATACGCTTCAAGGACCAGGCAGCTTCTACTTAATGCATATATGGAGTCCTAGTACCATGAAGGACTACTTCTTGAAAAAAGCTAGGAAGATTAAACCAGGCTTTTTGGATGGACATCTTATTACACTGACTTACTGTATTACTTGCTTTGCTGCAGCCATGCAGAAGACTGCAGAGTGGCAAGCCAAAGAAGCAGGCAAGTATTTTCCTGTTGACCACAAAAGACACAAGGCAGCAGAAGTGGCTTCCAGTCACCTTGGTAGCCTGTGGAGTGTAGGTTACTTCAAGGACTGAAGTCATCCACCAGGACAAAGAAACTCTTCAGGGCTCTCTGATTCACAGCAGCAGCCTCCCAGGAGAATTGCCTGCAATGCGAGACAAAATACAAGAAAACAATTGAGGAAATGGTCAGTGACAAGGGGAAGAGGCAGATTGACCTGCTGGTTCTTATCTTAGTGGCTTGGTGCACCTGCACTAGCCTTGGATGAATCAGTATGATTAGTCCATTGCAGTCAGTCTCCCTAGAATTTGTCATACCCAAAGAAGCTCGGCATTGGCCTGTGCAGGACATGTTGGGAGGCAGGATGGAGAATAAGAGCCTGCATCACTATGTCTGCATCTCTGTTGGCAAACATCGCTCTTTCTTGTGCTCCAGAGGACGCAGCCACCTTTCTTCCAGCACTGTTTCCTGTCATGGTGCTCTGACGAGGTCATTGTGGCCTAGGGCTAAAACCTGAGCACTGCTTGATCTGGGGCTTGCTCCATGACAGATAAAATAGGGCTTGAGCTCCAGCCAAGTGATGTCAGTGGTGAGGGTGCAGCCTCCTCAGCCTGTTACAGCTTGTGACTGCCGGCAGCTCTGTGCAAGATGGGTAATCACACCTACAGACAGGTAAATAAGAAGGGTCATGCTGCCTGGACCCCACATACATGGGGGAATAGCTTGCCCAGGAGTTGCTTCCTGCTGAGAAGTGAATGAAAGACGCCTGACCAAACCTATCCCGTAAATCAGGCAGCCGCAGAAGTGTGGTGCTGTGTTGGCCATGCTGCAGGAAGACGGCTATGTGCAAGCCCAGGCCTGTGTGGAGAGTGGCATGGGTGCTGCTGTGGTCTTACTGAGCAAGCTGTCCCAGCTGGTGGTGACAGGTACAGCCTAAAACCTTCATAAACCAGACCCTCTGCAGCAAGATCTGGGAAGGTGAAGGCATGTGAAGTAGAAGACTTGACTGGAGTTTTTGTCATCTCCTTTGTCATCTCTTAGGTAACAAGTGATAGAGGATGAGAGGAAATGGCCTCACGTTGTTCCAGGAGAGGTTTAGATTAGGTATTGGGAAAAATATCTTCACCAAAGGGGGTGTCAAGCACTGGAACAGGCTGCCCACTGAAGTGATGGAGTCACCACCCCTGGAGTTACTTAAAAGATGTGTAGATGTGGCATTTAGGGTCATGTTTTAATGGCACTTGGTGGTGCTGGGTTAACAGTTGGACTTGATGACTTTAAAGGTGTTTCCCAACCTAAATGATTCTATGATTCAGTGGTCTTCTAGTCCTTATTTCTCTACTTGTTCCCTGTGTTCATCTCCGTCCTGTCCTACTCTGCTTTCTCATGCCCCTTTGCAGACTAGCAGATTCTTCAGATAACAACATGCTGTGTGTCATGAGCACAAAGTGCATGCAGTTCTGCAGTTCAGCTGACTGCTAACCAGGCTGAGTCAGTTCAATCCAAGGGACGGTTACTTAGGGTGGCTTCCCAAAAGCCTGCTTTGTCTGCAGTTAGGAGTTGCAGGAAGCTGAGTGTCCCATGTCTGCTGCAAGTGCTGCGCTTCAAGTAGGGAGAGCGTTCAGGAGTGTGATTATTAGCTGCAGATCTTCAGCTAATTGACACTGCCTTCCCTAGTAAGCAGTGCACAACAGGGTTTTAAAATAGAATGTAGCCATGAAATAATTGCAACATTAGGAGAGCGTTCTGTGGTGAAGGAATGATTAATTTCAGTTCTTTCTTCCTGGTTTTGCTCTCTTTGTTCCCTGATATCCACAGTAAATTACTTCAGTACGTGTTCTTATATTAGATAATTGTTCTAAACCCAGCACATCACTGGAAATCAAGCTTCATTCTTCCTCTGTCATATATTGCCCTTTATAGCATACCTGGCAGTTCGGTTAATGGCCTATGAAGCACAACAGAAACCAGACAATCCATCTGTACCTACCTCTTCCCTGAAGTACGGACAAGAAGAAAGTTGCCTATAGATAAATCCAGCACATATGATTTAGAAGAAGCAAGTGGAACATGAAAGTCCATAAAATACTGTTGGAATCTGCCACCATAAAATACTGTTGGAATCTGCCTCTGTCCCCACCCCCGCCCAAGCAGAAGGTAGTTGCAGACAAGTTTGGTAGTGAACAAATTTGCTCCTGTAGGTTACTCACACCATAGCTCTCCTGGGCTGCTTCTGTTAGCAGCCGCCAGTGAAAGCCCCTTTCCAGCATCCAAGTTTGCATGAGGGCCTGGCAGGGGAATGTGCTCCTCCGCTTGCAGGCAGCGTCAGTAAATCACAGCATGACGGGCTCACCGCCCCGCCACTGAACTTTTAACTTGAAGCTTGAGCAGAGTGCTGAGCAGCTCCAGCTACATGACACGGAGCTGTGAAAGTAAATCACTTCTTTGGGAGCAAGGGGAAGTCCAGGATACTGTTCTGCAGACTTTGCCTACAGCTTCCTTGCAGTATAAGCACAGAATATATACACCCGGGAAAGCAATTAGAGAGAGATGGACCTCCAGCACAGAACTCGCCCTTTCCCCATCCCAGAGGATGAAGAGGTTGCACACAAGAGCGCTCCTGATGCTCACAACTCTGCAGGGAATGAAGAGAAACCAGTGTCAAAATTGCAGCGTAGGCACAGTGAAATAAAACTCTACAAAGAGTTTTGTGACTTTTATGCAAGATTGTAAGTTCATTCTGTTCGGCTTCGCGGTGTAACTGCAGTGACATTGTTGGTGTACTGTACATATGTATTTTATTATCTGAGCTCTGGGCAGGCTGTGCAAGTCATTCTTGTAATGCAGCCTTTGCCACTGTTCTGCTTGATACGTTGCCAATTGTAATCATCAACTAAAATCTGTGCTGTTGCTTTAAACTCCATCATTAATTGTATCAGAAGTTTTTATCGGCAGTTGAAACGGGGTTGGAATTTGTCACATAGTGTCTCTGACTTCAGGTCCTTTCCCTATTATTTTGGGTAAATGGCTATTGCTTCGCTAATGCAGAAGCGATACATCACTGAAGCAGACATACATCACTGGTTTTACATACATGATGTGTTTCAAAGTGAAGTTCTTTTGCATACTGAGGAGGAAAGCTTTATGTTTTCATTTATTTTTGAACTTTGTTTTATCTTTTTGCTTGTATTATACTTTGTCTGGCAGCTCTTATCATCCCTAGTGCTCGAGGACTGTTGAAGTGATGATGAAAGATCCCGATTTCTGTTATGATTATTCTTCATTTAGATTGAGAAGGAGGATGGGTGAATTGACTGAGGTTTTTTACCATGGAAAGCATATATAATCTAAGGAGAATATTGGTGAGCTTTATAGTTAACTACAGCTTATATGTGTAATCACTAGTTTGTCCATAGGCTTGTCTGTTATGTGTGGGATACATACATTTGATCTCCTTGTGAAATTCTCCCCCTTGCTTCAGCAAGGGGGCAGTGAATATTTGGATAGCAGTTACTTTTTTTCTCTTCTGCAAAGATCTCTAGAGAGAGGAGAGGGGGAGAAAAAGCCAGCTAATAATAACTGGTCAGATGTGACCTTGCATAGGTCTCTTCTGTGAGACAGTGTAAGAAATAGATAAAGCACATTCCTTTTTCAGCCACGTGCTAGGCGTTTGCTTTCTCCCTTGGATGCTGTGCAAGGAATGAATTCAACTCCTGTTGAACCTGGTGGGAACTGAGAGTTCTTATCCCTTTGGGAGGCAAAGCTTGGCATCGTGCAGAGGACTGAGTGCTCTGCACTTACAGGCACAGCATGATAGCTGTATCAAAATGGGTGCATGCGTGCACATGGGTTTAAAATAATCTCAGTTGTTTAATAAGCTTCCAGATAGATGTTTGATTGCCAGCTGTTCCCAGATTGTAATGAAACTAGACCATTACCTGTATTTGCTCTCTGATGTCAAATAGTATTAGGGGAGAGAATTTATCCTGAAAGCATAGCTTTGAGAGTCTAGATATGAGTAGGAAAATGGTTGCAAAGGAAAAATGGGGTGAGCCTTTTTCTGGGCTTAATTACTGAAAAACAGCTGTACTCTCTTCCGCAGAAGTGGACACAGTCCTAATGAAGTAGCTAATTCCTCTCTGCTTTACAGTTACCACACTGTCACTGTATGGTCACATACATTTGAGGAGCAACTGAGGTTGCTATTAGAGTATTCTTTTGCATCCTTGGCATGGGTTTGCCACCTTGTGTTTGCCTCTGTTCGGGTCACAGTGGGGCAGCCAGAGAATTGCCACCCTCTACCTTGGCCCTGGACCAACACCAGCACACTGTGGGCTGAGTTCCCTCAGATGAACCCTAGCAAACCAACCAAAAATCCCATCACTGCAAACTACATTTGTAAAATGACTTCAAGCTATGCAGAGCTTATATAGGGAATAATTGTTTACTTGCTCTGGTTCTCAGTAATATCTGCTGGGTTAGATACTGTACACTCTTTCACATTGCTTATTTTGAGCTTTCAAACCAATGTTGTTATATACATTGTAGGATTAGGAATTCTTTTGGAATTACCATTTATGTTTTCCTGTGTGATGCCAGTCCTCAATTATTGTGAATATTTGCCCTTGTTTTCTGTAATTCTAATGTATTTTTCAATCGTACTTCTTTGAATTGCCTGCCATTTCTCATTCTAAAAAAACCTGCAAATGCATCTGTAGTAATGACATTTCAGTTTGATTTTTTGAGTTAATTACAGTTACTAGAGTGTGTTGCAGGGGTTTTGTTTCTAAAGAGTTTGGGAGCAGGGGAAAATGTCAGTTGTATTTATGAGGGGATGCCACAAGTTATTAAGTCCATTGAAAAGCTTCTGTGGAGTTGAGCAGCCTAGTGTTAGGCTGATGCAGTTGGCTTTGGGGAAAGAAAAGAGCCCCACAGACAGTGGTGCTGCCTAATTGGGCTAATTTTCTTTCTGCTTCTTTTTTCTTTATGACAGCAACATGGCCAATGCTCTTGCAAACGCCATCTGTGAGCGCTGCCGGGGTGGCTTTGCCCCTGCAGAGAAAATTGTCAACAGCAACGGGGAGCTGTACCACGAGCAGTGCTTCGTCTGTGCCCAGTGCTTCCAACAGTTTCCTGAAGGGCTCTTCTATGAGGTAAGCAGGCAGAGTGCCCCTCTTGCCCACAGCCTTTGCCTTGTGCCTTCTTTCCATAGCAGAAGTAGCTATGGGCAGATCAATAGCTTAGAAGGTCCAGTGGCTAAAACTAGGCTCCAAAAGGATATGCTCAGAAGAGGGAGAAAAGAATCTCTGCGCTAATTTGGAAGGCTTCAGTGTATATAACCTTTTTTAAATGTATAGCCTAATCTGATCAGAGCTGAGAAAAAAAACAAAAACAAAAACAAAAACCAGAAAAACGCTGGAGATTTGTCAGTGCTGCTTTTTTTCCCTAAAATGTATGAATCTGATACATCATAGAATCGCAGAATGGTTCAGGTTGGAACAGACCTTAAAGCTCATCTAGTTCCAACCCCCTGCCATGGGCAGGGACACCTCCCACTAGACCAAGTCGCTCCAAGCCCCATCCAACCTGGCCTTGAACAGTGCCAGGGATGGTGCAGCCACAGCTTCTCTGGACAGCCTGTGCCAGTGCCTCAAACCCTCAGAGGGAAGAATTTCTTCCAATGTCTAATCTAAACCTACCCTCTTTCAATTTAAAGCCATTCCCCCTTGTCCTGTCACTACATGCCCTTGTAAAAAATCCTTCTCCAGATTTCATACCAGAATTACAGAGAAAGCATACTTCTTAGGGGAGGACACTCACATAGAGGGAAACCCCAGCATCCCGCAGTCCATAGGAGATTTATCACTGAGTTGAGTGAGACCAGCACAGCATGTGAAAAGGTGCACTTAGAGATGACTTGTAAGTCAGCATGCTGTGATCAGGGTGTGTGGAGAGCCCAAACCAAATGGGGACTCTGTAGGTCAACTCTAGGTTTAACAAAGTGGAGCATTCAAAAGTAGCAGTTCTCACACGCTTTCAAGGGTTAAAACCCATTCTCACTCATATTTCTCAGCCCCAGGTAGATTGCCTTCAGCTCAGATGGGTATTTTGATATCAGTGTCATTTTCTTTTGCCTTATCCTGTTGTGGGTATTCAGGATGTGGCTCATCTATCTCAAGGACAAAGTGGTTTCAGTGAAAGCTATAGACTAGTTCATAAAACCTGAAGTGTTTCATATAAGGAAGGGTAGATGATGTGAGACAGGGGATTACTGTCTGAGAGATAAGGTCCCACTCAAGTGGCTTGTAGTCTCATTTACAGTACATGGTTACAGGATTTATGTCATACTGTGATCTGAAAAGAAAGGTGAGTAGTGTGTTAAAAGCACAATGCTATGCCCTCACATGCAGTGTACCATCCTTGTGGCAAGAGCACAACAGTTTATCTTCCACAGCAGTATTTCTAATTTTACAGAGCCACATTACATGGCGAGGAAGAGAGGCTGAGGGAGGACTGTGGCTTGGAAAAGAGTGGCAAAGGAGATTCCTGGGGTTTTCCTTCTCTCACTGCTCTAGGATCAAAAGTCTTTTCACTGCTGTAGGGGTAGTGTTGCACACATTGTGGTAAAGGAGGCACTGGTGTTCTGTAAGACATCAAAAGGTGAGCTGCAAGGCAGGAGCAATTAAAACAAAACAAAACACCCCCTAGATACTTACATGTTGCATTACAATTGCTATATACTGAGCTGCTGCCTGCTTGCAGGCGTGGTAAAGAGTCCATCCCCAATCTGTAAGACCCGAGACAAATATAAAGTGATATGAATGTTCTAAAACTAAAGTATTTGTAATTGTGTCAATAAAATGTATTTTCTCTAGATGAGTACTGTATTCATCCTTTTTCTGACTCAAAAAAACAGTGAGACATTCCAGGGACCTCTTTCAGAAAGTGGAGTGATCCTCTGTTAAAGACAAAAGTTTGAGAAGTCCTGCTGTAGGCAGCCTGTATATCCTAAGGAATGGACCAGGACTGCAATTTTCTTACTTTTCCACCTAGCCCAGGAACATTACAGCCTCCCTGTTGCTCATGCTTGGCCATACCTGAGACTCCTTGGCAGGGGCAAGTAACCTGATGGTGTTTAGATATAGTAGGCATTTTGCTTCCTACTGCTACCTTGCTACATATTCCTAATGGTTTGAGCACTCTCCTACTGCAGAGTGATGCTCCCTGTTAAAGACAGTAAGCCAGAAATGAGTGTTGATAGATTGTTCTGGGAATGAAAATAGCCCCATGTACTAAACATGTTTTGATTAATGTTGCTAGAGCTTTTTTCAG